CCAGATTCTATTCTCTATCTCTATAAATCTCAAATCCGTCCCTGTATGGAATACTGTTGCCACATCTGGGGCGGATCTTCTAATGATGCTCTTTCTCTTTTAGACAAGGTGCAAAAACGAATTGTAAACATAGTTGGACCTGCTCTGGCAGCCAATCTCCAACCTTTGTCACATCGTCGTAATATTGCTTCTCTTTCTCTTTTCTACAAATACTATAATGGGCACTGCTCTAAAGAGCTAGCGTCCCTTGTGCCATCTACTAAAATTCATTCTCGTGTTACTCGCCATTCAATTAAGTCTCATCCTTTTTCTGTGACTGTTCCTAAGTGCTTCAAAAACTCTTATTCTTCTAGTTTTTTTCCTCGAACATCAGTTCTTTGGAATTCGCTTCCTTCATCTTGCTTTCCTGATTCATATAATTTGCAATCTTTTAAGTCATCAGTCAATCGTTATCTTGCTCTACAGATTTAGTCTTTTCTCTTCCAGTAACTTCCAACTCTTATAGTGGTTGCTTGCAGCCTTGTTGGAAGTGAAGATGTTAAAAAAAAAAAAAAATATATATATATATATATATATATTATATAATAATTATTAAATAATAGTTTATAGTAATATATAAATATAGTAATAAAGTAAAAAATATAGTAATAAAGTATAAATATAGTAATAAAGCATAAATTTTAGAATGTATCCAAATATTTAAAAATTACATAAACTTCAAATTAAGTAATGCTAAAACATACTAAAACATTTATCAAGTTTTACAGTTTGATTTTTACTTGAAAATTGCTGAAAAAAAAGTTTTCTGAAAGTTAATAAAGAAAAAACTTAATAAGACAGTCCTGCTACTCCAGAAGGTGCTGCTGTGGAGGCAAAAAAAACAACAACCCATAGCTAGAAAAAAATTTAAAACTTTCTTTTGACAATTAGAAGTTTTTTTTGCTATAAATATATACTGCAGCCAATTTTCAAAATGCCTTAATATGCTTATTACATATTTCTAGAAAAACACAATTAAAAAAAAAATTATTAGGAGAAACCCTTTGTAAAACATTTTTTGAAACAAATAATTTTTATTAACTTTTTCAGAACTCATTGAAAATATGTATTCAATAACATTTGTAGTCATCTAACTAGCTTATTTTGTAAAAAAGTCAAAATTGATTTTTTTTTACTTTAAAGCATTTTGAAAAATGGTTGCAGTATGGATGATACAACGAATATGTTGAAATAAGATAATTTGAAGCAAAATTTAAAAGCTCATAACAAAAGCCACTAGATCAAAAAAATTAAAAGTAATTGCAATTCAGTGTACTTGAAAATTTCAAGTATAGTGTATTGGTATTTGCAAAGAAATATTATGTAAATCATTTTTTAATTTTAATTTAAACTAATTTTTTTTTAAATTAGTTTATATTAAAATTAGTTTATATTTTGTTGTGCTTAACCATCCCTATATAAACAAATATGTTCATTTGTTTATGTATATTGTTTACAAAATGTAAAAAATCTTATATAACAACTTATTCAGGATTATATGTAAAATAAATAAACTTTTCTAATAATTACAAGTCTTTTTTGATCAAGCTGTTTTGTTTTCATTTTTCATATGTGTTATTAAATTTAAAAAATTGACAAGATTGAAAAAACACGAAACATATTGTCAGTGTGTCATATTTGTCAAGTGGAAAATTTGAAACTTAAACTTTATATTTGCTTATTTGCTTCGTAGACCTTTAAAAATGATAGTCATAGAAATAAGATTTTATTTCAATTTTTTTAAAAAACTCTATCTATTAAAGATACATATGGAATATATTTTCATGAGATATATTCTAATAAAGACAAAAACTATTTATCTATTACTATTGCAATAAATTACTATTGCTTCTAATTCCACTCTTGAATCTTGTGGACATTCTCTTCATTTCATTCCAGTCAAACAGGTTGACCCATTGTTAGACATTTAAATCACTCTGGCTTCTGTTGCTAAAGTCATATCTCAATTAAACTCGTCTACAGCTTGTGGTCCAGACAACATTCCTGTCACAGTCTTGCAGAATTGTTCTCCAGAACTTTCTTCAATTCTCTCTAAACTATTTAACAAGTGTTTGACTGAGTCTTGTTTTCCTGCTTGTTGGAAAATGGCATCTGTGGTTCCAATATTCAAAAACTCTGGAGAAAATTCTGACCCCTCCAATTATCGTCCAATCAGTCTTCTTTCTGTTATTAGCAAGGTCTTTGAGTCTTTGATCAACAAATTCCTCGCATCTCATCTTGAGTCAAATAAACTACTGTCAGACAATCAATACGGTTTTCGATCCTCTCGCTCTACGGCCGACTTGCTAACTGCTGTAACTGAAAGATTTTATCATGCACTAGATGAAGGCAGTGAGGCTAGGGCTATTGCTCTCGACATATCTAAAGATTTTGACAAAGTTTGGCATGCTGGTCTTCTCCATAAGCTTGCTTCATATGGTGTTTCTGGGAAAGTTTTTGAGATTATTAAATCATTTCTTTCTAACCGGTTTATTAAAGTCATCCTTGAAGGCCAACACTCTTCTTTATTACCAGTAACTTCTAGGGTTCCCCAAGATCAATTGCCTAGAACAAGCAGCTGATCTTGAATCCGATCTCACTTCAGTAATAGATTAGGGTTCACAGTGACTTGTGAATTTCAACTCTAACAAAACCCAGTTGTTTACTGCAAACAACTACCGTAATATGGTCAACATTCCTATATTAATGAATGGCAATCCTCTTACTGAGTCCTCCTCTTTACGTCTTCTTGGATTATCGCTTACTACTGAGCTTTCATGGAAACCATATATACAATCGATTGCTAAATTAGCTTCTGCTAAGGTTGCTTCTCTTTATCGCGCTTGCCATTTCCTTACTTCTGATTCCATTCTCTACCTCTACAAATCTCTTATTCGTACCTGTATGGAATACTGTTACTGACCTGGACTATCTGCTAATCTTGAGCCTCTTTCCCATCGTCATAAAGTTGTATCTCTTTTTCTTTTCTACAAATACTATCATGGTCACTGCTCAAAGGAGTTATCATCTCTAGTTCCATCAACTAAAATTCATTCTCGTTTTACTTGTCATTCAGCTAAGTCTCATTTGTTTACTGTATCTGTCCCTGCATGCTCTAAAAACTTTTAATCATCTAGTTTTTTTCCCCATACTTCAATCCTTTGGAACTCTCTTCCATCTTCATGTTTTTCTGAATCATACAACCTTCAACTTTTCAAGTCTTCTGTCAACCGTTTCCTTGCTCTATAACTCTGTTCTTTTTTTTTCCTAGTAACTCCCAACTTAATAGTAGTTGCTTGCAGCCTTGTTGGGAGTGAATGCAAATATATATAAAAAAAAAAAAAAGTATAAACTCTTATTTGTGAAATGATATATCTGTACCAGTTTTATATATTTTTATGCAATTGTATGCAACATAATTAAAATTAATCAAAAAATGTTAGGTAATGGGCAAAAGGAAACTTGACATAAAAGTTTTTTTTGGCCTTACTTTTAGATTAGTGTTTAGCTGACGCCGCATCTTTAGCTTTTAATCAAAATTATAAGAATAAACTTTTTTTTAATGACTAAGTTTTAATAGTCTTCTTAGTTCCATTTTTATAGCGTTACATACAAACACCTGTAAGTGTAAACATCTTTAGCATATGTTGATTTTGGATACGTTATATGGAATAATCCCGTATAATGTATCTATAAAATAAGAAAACTTTAAAATTTCATTTTGAATTTTAGAAATCTTTTTTGCTATATTATTATTTTTTTGCTATAAAAATATAAGAAAGATTGAAAAAATTTCAAAATTTATTATGCTAAGGGGAGGTTTAAACCCCACGAGATGACACTGATGACAGTCCACTAAACCACTGAGCTATTAAAGCATTTAGCAGAAAAACAAGCCTAATTATAAATCTCTTATAAGCTCTAGGTATATGGGAAAGGTGTGCATGTTAAGTTTTTTGCTCTAAAAGTTTTTTTTCAGAATAAATTATTTTACTAAAAATTATTGAATTAAATAAGGAATAGGTATAGAAATAATCGGTGGGGAATAGATATGGATAGAAATGGTAGGTTTGGTAAAAACCCGTATTTTACGGATCCGGAAAGCTAGGATAATATAAGAAAAAAGTATAGAAAAGTTTGGTTTGAAAAAGACTTACAAAGACCTGTATTTTTACGGGCCTGAATAGCTACTTAATAATAATAACAATATATTATTATAATAATTGTAATAAAAACTTTAATTAAAAAAAAAATAAAAAAAGAAGAACTGATCATTTTGCTAATAAAAATTTAATCCTTTTACAGAACTTCCAACTCTCCAGGTTTTGCTGTGAGTTACACAGTTATATTACAGTTATATTTCAGTTATATTACAATTCAGTCTCATGATACCTCATGGTATCACGAGGCTGAGGGTGCCAGCCTCACAGTTGATTTAAATTCCCCAGATAAATTTTAAAAATGTTAAGAATTTTTTTTTTTTATATTCTAATTCTTTTATCTGGTAATTAAGTACTGATGAACACTTGATGTAAATATGGTTAAAATTTATATTGACCAATTTTACTATTCTTTGTGGTAAACAATTACATCAAGGTTTTACCTGATCATTGCAAAAAAAGCAGTCACAAAGCAAATGTTAAAACATTAATAAATCAAACTGAATTAAAAAAAAAAAAAAATTTAAAACCAAACATTTTATGATTTTACGCTTCTTTAAGTTCATATAAAAATCTCAATTTTTTAAAAAATTAATTCTCAAGGTTTTAAAACGAAAAGGTCAGAAGGAAGAAGATTTGGAATAAAAGGTTCAAAGATTTGCTTTTGCCTATAGGTAGTGGGATAAATTAAAGCTTTATCCTAATCTGAAAAATATATATATATATATATATATAGGTAACAAATTAAATTGTGCATTAAACTTCAACTAATTAGAGTGAACAACTTAAATATATATTTACATGGTCACACTGTCCATTTTTCAAGCCATTTTGTAATGGAGATGACAGATAAGTGTTTTGTTCTCTAAAAATATTAAATTATCAAGATTTTATATCAAAATTACAAAACTATATTAAATTATAAAAATGTGAAGTAATCAAGGCTTTATATTAAAATTAAAAAACTATTTTATATTATAAAAAAAAAAAAAAAAATTACATAACTGTTTTAAATTATAAAAAAAAAATGTTTTGCAACTACTATTTTTTCAAAATCAAAATTTAGAAACAATAAAACTTTGTTTAAACAAAAAATATTTAATAAAAAATCATTTAAAAATCTGTTTTTTATACACAATGACTTTTATATGCTGGTAATGTTTTTTACATATTAGTTTTATAAACTCTAAATAAATATTTTAAACAAATTTTGACAATACAATTTTTTGTTTTCAATAGTTTAATGCAAAATATTGACTAAAAACCCAGTGTGTAGGCTAAACATAGTCCTAAATATTTTAAATGTTCCCCACATCATGCAATTTAAAATTGACTTATATTTGTTTACAAATTTATACAAGTTATACTTATATTTGTTTACAAGTTTTTTTCTTTAAGTTAGTAAAATAACTTTTGGTCAAAACCTTTTTTTTACTTTTGCACTTTAATTTAGCTCTATTGTCTTCTAAAAAAATTTAGTAAAGCTCCATTGTCTTCTAAAAAAAATTTAGCAAAGCTCTATTGTCTTCTAAAAAAAATTTCTATTGAAACAAAAGAACTTCTGTTCTTACATAATTTCTTCTTTCGTTTCTTGTTTTTCCTTGATAAAATTATTGTCACTAAGTTGTTTTGAGTTGCTTATATTATAATCAGTTAGACCATTAATCCAATCACTTTTATTGTAATCAGTTAGACCATTCCAATCACCTTTAACAGCTGTTTGTTCAAAATCATTCAAAATCATTTGCTTAATCACAACTGTTTTATCATCAATCATATCTAAAAACACAATCAAATAAAAAAACATTAAAAAATGACCTAATATTGGCATTTAGAGGTACGAAAATATAATTTTAATAATAAGATAAATGTGGTTATAAAAAATATTTAAATTATTTAACAATTATTTTTAAATAGCATTTCTTTCAACACGAGTGTTATTTTAAATAACAAATTTTTGAACAGAGATTTATAAATTTGTTTGTTTTTTATTACCATTGATTTTGACAAAAAACGTTTTTAATTGAGAAAATTTTGAAAACAAAAATAAAAGAAGAAAAATTTAATATCATTAGCAATTTACTATCAACCAGAGACAGAAAGTCCTAAAAAGAGACACAAGATCCTAAAAAGAGACACAACATTCTAAAAAGAGACACATGGTCTTAAAAAGAACATTGCTGTTTAGAGCTAGCCATTTATAATTTTAATTTATCCTAAAGCTCTAGTAATGCTTAAAAACTTATGAATCCCACAAAAGAAAAAGATGCAGGACATTAAAAGTCTTTTAAGAATCTATTTAAACTATTACTAAGAAATTAAACTGTATAGAAAAATAAATTATATTAACCATTTGTAATGAACTAATAAAAAGATTGACCTCTTGATTAAGGCTTTATTTAACAATAATTGTGCAAATCTAAAGATACAAGAAAATAGACACATATATAAAACAAATAGCTCAATAAAAAAAAATAGAAAACACAACAATCTTCCCATCTATGTAGAAAAAGGCCCATAAACTAGTTTGTCATTTTAAAATATAGTCATCATATTTTACAGGAGCTTTACAAGCTCTGGCAGAACGTCGTAATACATCAGCAAATGGCTCAGTTACTGGCTCATCTACCCTAACTCTGATTTCCGATGCAATTTCAGGTGAAGGGTCTTTATTTATATCAAGTACTTTCGCAGTTACATTCTAATTAGACTCATTGATACTATTCTCATTGATATCATTAAACTTTTCTTTTGGGGGAAGATACGGTGCAAGATCTTGAAGTGAAACAGTTGACTCTCGTCCATCAGGGTAATGAATATTAGCATATGTCGGATTTACATCCACTAATTCAACCTTATCCATGAAATTATCGTTTTTGTTTGTACGCACAAAACGTCTTGGAAAAATTGGGCCAGGAGTTAACCATGAGGGCAACAAAGTTCCGGATGACGAGCGCCTAGGAAAACTGAATAATCTCTCATGGGGTGTACAATTAGTTGCAGTTGAAAGTAGTGAACAAAGCGAGTGGAGAGCGTCTGATAGAACAATTTCCCAATTTCTAACATCTAGGTTGTGGGTTTTTAGTGCCAAACAAATATTTTTCCAGATCAAGCCATTATATCTCTCACCTTTACTGATAGGATGATATGGGGTAGAATTACTTGTTGCAATTCCTTTCTGAGTAAGGTAAGCTTTTAATTCATTAGATATGAAAGATGAGCCTCTGTCGGAATGAATGTATGTTGGAAAACCACAAAAGGAGAATATTTGATCTAAACACTTCACAACAGTTGTTAAACTAATATTAGGACATGGGAAAGCAAATGGATACCGAGAATATTCATCAATGACTGTAAACAGATATTTATTTCTAGAATTAGATGGCAATGGTCCTTTAAAATCTATACTTAGGCGATCCATTGGACGTATTGACTTGATTAACTCACAGGCATTTGAGGATCGATAAAACTTTGGTTTTAATTCTGAACAAATCTGGCAGTTAGAACAAACTCTCTTGACCTCTTCTATAGAAAAAGGTAAATTTTTAGATTTAACAAAGTGAAGCATAGAGGTAACTCCTGGGTGACATAGACAGCTATGTATACCACTTAGGTTTGTTTGAGATTGGGTTGTAGCACAAAAAGCACATGTGAGTGCATCAAGGACGATATTATCGCTTCCAGGACGATACGATATAGTATAACTAAACTCTGCTAACTCCATCCTCCAGCACTGAATCTTACTATTTTTAATATTTGTTTTCTTTCGGTTATCAAACGTAAAAGCTACAGAAAGCTGATCAGTAATTGATTTAAATTGATTCCGTAACAGTAAATGTCGCCATTTTCGAACGGCTTCAATAATAGCCACAGCTTCTTTTTCTACTGATGGGTAATTGATTTCACTTTTGCCTAATGTTCAAGACATAAAGGCAACTGGACGACCATTTTGATTCAAGGTAACTGATACGGCTAAATCTGATGCATCACATTCAACAACAAAAGGTAAGCTCTCGTCAATAGAACTCAAAGTGGCAGCATGAAGTTCTCTTTTAAGAAGTTGAAATGCTTTAAGTGCCTCACTATTGATAGGAAAGGATTTAACATTAATTAAAGGCCGAACTTTATTAGCAAACAAAGGTATCCACTTTGAATAGTAAGAAAACATACCCTAAGTTCGCCTAAGTGATAAAATGTTAGAAGGAGGAGGTAGTAAGTCTAAAGGACGTAATCGCTCAGAATCTGGTTTTATGTTGTTATGACTAACGCAATAACCAAGAATGTTTATAGAAGAAGCTGAAATAACCGATTTTGATTCATTTAAAGTTAGACCCCAACATTGTGAAGCGTCTTGAAACCGCAGACAATTTTTATCATGATGTGCCTGATCATAACCACCAATGGTTATATTGTCAAGATATGGAAAAGTGTCATGTAACTTTTCTTCTTCAACAAACTTGTCCATAGACCTTTGGAATATAGACACACCATTAGTAACTCCAAATGGAATCCTGCAAAATTGAAATAGTTTCCCATTTGCCTCAAATGCTGTATACTTTTTGTCTGAATTTTTAATAGGGATTTGGTGGTAAGCACTTTTCAAGTCCAATGTAGAGAATACTTTGTACTTTGCAAGTCCATTTATCATATCATCTATTCTAAGAAGAGGATATTCATCTAACTCAGTGTAAAGGTTAACTGTTTGAGAGTAATCAATACAAAGTCTTTTTTTGTTAGATTTAGTAAGATCCTTTACGACCACGACCTGGGCTCTCCATGGTGAGAAACATGGCTCAATTATACCATCCGATAATAACTGTAATATTTTACTTTCAATAAAGTTTCGATCATCATTTTTATATCTTCTTGATTTTGTAGCTATTGGCTGAGTTTTGTCTGAAATGCTTGTAAACAAGGATGGTATTTTTATTTTTGCCATTTGCAGTGCACATAGGTTACTTTCCTTTGTGACAACTAAGTCTTCTTTTTCTCAACCAAGTGGGAATATTAAATTTTTGTGTAGTTTTTGGAAGTCGTAACCAAGTATGATATCACTACAAAGATTTTCTAAGACACCAAATTGAACATTATTATAAAATAAACCATTTACTTTAAGATTAACTGAACAACAGCCCACTAATCCAGACTACATTGTTGTGAGGGCCATCAAAATTTTCTTTATACCGAGTAACGTTTTAATTTTTAAAGTCTCGATAATTTTCTTGCTTATAAAATTATCTGAGCTACAGGAATCAACTAGTGCAGTTAACGGTTCATCATTAATTCTGACAATAACAGCTGCATGAGAGAGGCTCAACGGACAACCACTTGAAACAGTACACAAACTTGGTTTATGTATTGCAACTGAAACACTGTGGGTTATATTCATAGGCCTGCCAAGACAAACTTTGGAAAAATGACCTTTTTTTCCACATTTAAAACAGGTTACCTTTTGAGCTGGACAATTTTTCCTAGCAGAGGTTTGATTACGTTAGTTGTGAGATTGATTACCACAATAAATGCATTTTGTTTGAGGATTAATAGTCATAGCATTGAGTGCTGCTGAGGGTTCTTCTGGAAATTTTATAGCTAGGGTTTCAATTACACTTTCATAGGAATCACACTCTTCAATGTAATCATAAATATAAAAGCCATAATCAAGAGGTCAATCTTTTTATTAGTTCATTACAATTTATTTAACAATAATTGTACTGATCTAAAGATACAAGAAAATAGACACATATATAAAACAAATAGTTCAATAACAAAAAATAGAAAACACAACACCATTCTTTTCATTGTTAACTTTTTCAAGAAACATCTCAGTTTCTAAGCCTCTTTGTTTAAGAGCTGAAAGGTAACCTAATATTGAAGATTGGTAAGACATTGATTCCTGAAAATAATTAAAAATTATAAAAAAAGAATACTTAAACATATAATAAGTAAATTTTAGCCTAAGAAAAATAACTCTAAACAAAATAACATAAAAAGAAACATTTTACTTTTAAATACCATGTCTAACATGAAACCAATAAAGTTAAAGTTTAATACTATATATTTTTAATACTAATAAAACATAAATATATTTACATTATTAAACTTTGGTAGATATAATAAATTTAATATATATATATATATATATATATATATATATATATATATATATATATATATATATATATATATATATATATATATATATATATATATATATATATATATATATATATATATATATATATATATATATATATATATATATATATATATAGAGTATGCAAAAAATAAAATTTTACACTTGAAAAAAAATCACATCTTTTATGTTTATGACCAAAATTTGTGTAAAGTTTTAACAAAAATTGCATCTAAAGTATACATTAAAATATCAATAGCAAAATATCAATAAGATTTTGGAAAAAAATTATAGTTTTCGTTTGTACAATGGAAATTTAAAACTTCAATTTTTTTAATAAATTTTTTTTGTTATACATTTTTAGCTACAGCAAATAAAGTAATTGTCAAAAAAATAATGTCAAATTGATCAAATTTCATATAAATTAGTATTGAGTAGTGCTTCCTTTAGCCTTGATGGCCCAAACTTGACAATTCGACATTGAGTTGACCAAATTTTATATCTCTTCCGTTACTATATTCTTTTAAGTCATCTTTGCGTTAAAATGCAAAGAGGATTCAAGTCCGGACTTTGAGATTCTAAAACATGGATATTATTTGTAGTAAAGTATAGTTTCATTTTCTTAACAGTATGTTTTTGGATAGTTACTTCTGCTGGATTAT